TTGCAAATCCGCACCGCTTGTCATGTTTGAAAAACTTGTCATACAAGATTTAGAAAGAATCAAACCTACCAAATTCGACACTCATAACCTAACACAAAGTGAAAGAGTAGCAATCAAACAACTACAGGATGATAAGACCATAGTAGTTAAACCAGCAGACAAAGGGGGAGGCCTGGTTATCCTATCAAGTACTATGTACATTGAGGAAGCCAACCGACAACTTAATGACACTCAAGTTTACGAAAAATTACTATCAGATCCAACTGCTAATATAAAAGAGACTTTTTCAACGTTTTTAAAAAAAAGGGGCAGATCTTAATATTTTAAGCAAACAAGAAGCTAATATTCTAAACATCCAATATCCCAAAATTCCAGTAATCTATTTTCTACCAAAAATTCACAAAGATACAACTAACCCACCAGGTAGACCCATTGTGTCTGGGATAGGCTCACTCTTAAGCAACTTATCACAGTATATCGATACTCTTCTCCAACCCTCTGTCAAGCTTATGAGGTCCTATCTGAAGGATTCCATGACTCTTTTAAGATTTTTAAACAATTTTAGCTGGCAACCTAATTTTATTCTAGTCACTTGCAATGTCCAGTCTTTATACACAATCATTCCCCATGACATAGGGTGCAACGCAGTGCGTAATATCCTCACACAAGAAAATAGAATCCCCAATATTCAAATTGATTTTATTATTGAAGGTATTAATATAATTTTAAAGAACAATTATTTCTGGTTTTTTAATTGTTTTTATCTACAAAAACGAGGTACGGCTATGGGAACCAGGTTCGCCCCCAGTTATGCCAACCTCTTCATGGCAGATTGGGAATCCACTGCCATCTGGGGCGAGCATACATGGCGGGCGAACCTGATCACATATTTTAGATACATAGATGACCTCTTTTTTATCTGGAACGGTTCAGAAGATTCTTTAAAATTATTTATTAATCATCTTAATTGTAACAACAGAGGCATCATTTTAACTTACGAATACAGTAAAACTACCATTAACTTTTTAGATCTGGAAATTTTTATTAAAAATGATATTTTAAATACCAAAACCTTTTTTAAAAAAGTATGCACAAACACAGCCATTGACCGCTCAAGTTGCCACTACAAACCATGGCTGGAAAGTGCACCAAAAAGTAAATTTTTAAGACTGAGAAGGAACTGCTCTCAAATAGAAGATTTTAACTCGCAAGCTGCTTTTTTGAAAAATCAATTCACAGAAAAAAATTACCCAATAGAGAACCTTAATAATACCATAGAATCAGTTCGAATTAAAGAAAGAACAGAACTTTTAAATTACAAAGAAAAAACCACTGATAATCACCTTAACCTTCCGATTATCTTCAATTTTAACAACAAAAGTAACCATGTTAAAAAAATTATAAAAAAACACTGGCACCTATTACAACATGATGATACTCTTAAGAAAATCATACCAGAAAGACCAAATATTGTCTTTAGAGGAGCCCCTAGGTTAAAATCTATTCTAACCTCCAACTACACAAAAGAGAACAAAAAAAAGTCACAAACCTGTCTTTTACCTAATATCAAAGGGTTCTTTAAATGCAAACACTGTAAAGTATGCAAATGCACAGATCAGTCGATTAAAACTAAAACCACACACTTTCAGTCTAATAAAACCAACACAACATATAACATCAAGGATTTTATTACATGTACTACAAAGAATGTAATCTACCTCCTAGAATGCCCATGTGGATTACAATACGTGGGCATGACCACAAGAAGTCTTAAAACACGCTTAGGTGAACACTTCCGGAATATTATTAATGGATACCAGAATCATACGGTATCTAAACATTTTATCATTCATAATAAGGATCCTGGCCTTTTAAAATGTATTGGCATAAAAAAATGCACCATTCCATGGAGAGGAGGTAACATCAAAAATATTTTAGGAAAATGTGAAATGGAATGGGTCTTTAATTTAAAAACATTGGTTCCAAATGGTTTAAATGCAGACTTCGATTTATTTAATTTTATCTAAATATTTTACATAACATTACCACTCTTCTTATTATATCTTATTTTAACATATATTAAAATGTTTTATGTGCTTATGCCCTTATTATTTTTATATTAGCATTTTACATATGTATATGTTTTATTATGTTATTATGTTTTAATACTCCTATTTTGTTTTATGTACCGTGTTTCCCCGAAAATACACCCTACCCCGAAAATAAACCCTAGCTGAATTTTCCGGGTGGGCTGCAATATAAGCCCTACCCCGAAAATAAGACCTATGCATTGCACCTTTCGGCCCGGCGGGACTTCCTTCTTCTATGAGGAGCGTTGCGGGCCGCGGCATCGCGCAACGTGATGACGACGTGCGCAGCGCCGTCAGTCTGCCTTCACGGATCTTCAGCGGAAGGATCCATTTCCGGGCGGTGAGGCTCCCAGTGGTCGGACTCGGCAAGGAATCTTTGAAATGTGAGTACCGCTAGATATTTTATGTCTGGGACTGAATTCATTAAAGGGGGCGGGGGGTGAATTAATTAAAGGGGGGGTGAATTAAAGGGTGGGCTGGATTAATTAGAGGGGGGTGAATTAATTAAAGGGGGGTGAATTAATTAAGGGGTGGACTGGATTAATTAGAGGGGGTGAATTAATTAAAGGGGGTGGATTAATTAGAGAGGGTGAATTAATTAAAGGGGTGGTGAATTAATTAAAGGGTGGGCTGGATTAATTAGAGGGGGGTGAATTAATTAAAGGGGGTGAATTAATTAAAGGGTGGGCTGGATTAATTAGAGGGGGGTGAATTAATTAAAGGGGTGGTGAATTAATTAAAGGGTGGGCTGGATTAATTAGAGGGGGGTGAATTAATTAAAGGGGGGTGAATTAATTAAAGGGTGGACTGGATTAATTAGAGGGGGTGAATTAATTAAAGGGTGGGCTGGATTAATTAGAGGGGGTGGATTAATTAAAGGGGTGGTGAATTAATTGAAGGGTGGACTGGATTAATTAGAGGGGGTGAATTAATTAAAGGGGTGGTGAATTAATTAAAGGGTGGGCTGGATTAATTAGAGGGGGTGAATTAATTAAAGGGGTGGTGAATTAATTAAAGAGTGGGCTGGATTAATTAGAGGGGGTGAATTAATTAAAGGGTGGACTGGATTAATTAGAGGGGGTGAATTAATTAAAGGGTGGGCTGGATTAATTAGAGGGGGTGGATTAATTAGAGGGGGGTGGATTTATTAAAGAGGGGGGTGCATTAATTAAAGGGGGGTTCAATGTACATACCGGTACCGTAAATAAATAAGCCCTACCCTGAAAATAAGCCCTAGTGTGTTTTTTGTGACTAAAATTAATATAAGACCCGGTCTTATTTTCGGAGAAACACGGTAAAGATGTGCCACCTCTAACATGGCCACCTATTTAACTATACACCTAGCCTATATTCCCCTCCCAAGATGGCTGCTGCCATTATGTTTCCACTAGTAATCCTTCCCCCTGTGGTTTCACAACCACTCCCCCCTTCCCTAACCCCATAGCATATCCAGTGAGATTGACATGTAGTCTAACCTTAGACTACATGTCCCATACTCCCTCCGAAACCGGAAGTGACGTCGCGTCGCGTCCGGTACGCGCGTCACGTGCCCCTTCCAATGGTGTTCCTCCCTCCCTCCCTCCCACCCTGTAAGCCCAATGTTGGGCTCTATTTGCATTAGGGACATGTAGTCTAGCCACAGACTACATGTCCCATGACCTCGCCGAACCGGAAGTGACGTCGCGCTAATGACGCGCGTCACATGGTTCAGTTCTAAAATGTAAATACAATGTAATAAATGCTCGTTTTTATATAAAACCTATGTCATTAGCATTATATAAGTTATATAAATCTAACCTTTATTCAGAATTGTTGTTATGAAAGTGTAAAAACGATCTGTTTAACTATTGGTTGTAAAATTTTGGCGCCAATTTTATAATTATTTTATACCTATATAAACCCTAACTAGCCAGGTAGAATTGTTTGTTATCCATTGATAAAGCCTTACATTGGTGAAACGCGTTTGGATATTTTATACTATTTTATATATTGTTAATAAAAGATTTTGGTCACTTTTACATATAAACCATCATCTTTTTTATTACCTGGCTATTTTAATAACTTTCTATTTATATATATATATATATATATATTTTTATATATATTTTATTATTTTTTTTATTTTTATTTTTTTTATTATTTTAAGTCCTGTATACCATACTCCAAGAATCCCAGGTGGGGATTATACCACCTACGCTGTTACATAGAGCAGTTAGCCTGCCCTATACACTGTGAGTATATTTTATTATTTTATTTTACCATTCAAGATTTTATTGAGAGCACTATCGCTGTTTTACCTTCTCTTCAAGCTCCTGATACTTCGATCAAGATCACTCCTCATATATCCCATAAGCGGGGATGATACCGCTGTACGCCTAACCAACTAGAGCTAGCCTAAGCTCTACCGAATGTGAGTGTATCTATCATATTTTATTATATTTTTTATCAGTGTAGAACATACTGCACCATTACTGTCTTCATTTTATCTTCCCCAACTACGGCCACCTGCTACCACAAAGAAGAGGACACCTGCCGAATATCCTGTAAGCGGGGATAATACCGCTGCAAGCTATCCACACCAGAGCTGGGTTAAGCTCTGTTAATTGTAAGTAAGATCTCTTCTACTTCTTATATTTGGACTACTCTCCACGATACCGTACCTTTTGAACCCCACCAAAAGTAGAACTTTGGACACGACAATATACATTGGACTCAACACTCAGTGTACACATCGGCGCAGACCCATCCCCCATTTTTTTCTGCTCCTACTATTTGTATTCCAAGGACACCAGAGGGAATCCTTGTTTGGGACTGCTGCCTCTCTGACTAGCGCTGACTCAACCCCCCATTTTGTTACCTATATAGTTAAGAATGCAATTTTAAAAATGATTGACACTGATAGTGACATACCTTGCCTTTATTGCAGACATCTCCTACACCAACACATGTCAACTAGGAAAGAACATTGAAAAGGCAGCATTAAACCAGAAATCATACTCAAAGAGCATTTAAAATACGATATAGTCATGGATGTATAGGACTATACTTTTTCTGATATGTTTCGGAAGGTAATATAGATTGAATACTCACCATTCCAGTGCAAGAACGAGTAATCCAAGGTTTACTTTGGTCATTCTTATAGACATGTAGCTTCCCACTGGTATCTCCAATCACTAGTTCATTCAGCTAGAGAAATGAGAGAATCAAACTAAACACTTTGTTTGAACACTACATCCAAAAACAAATCTTTCAATTAATTTACTATATACCAGATCTCTCTTTAAAATGTTTACACTTCTAGAAAATGCCTCAATTGCAGAAGCATATAACCATAATAAAATGTTTTATTAGGTAATGAGGAACAGAATTTCCCAGGCACTGAAAGAGTGAAAGTGTACATATTCTACAATTTCCACAAATCCCAATATTTATCTCCATTTACCGAGTCATTATCAGCATCACCCAAGCATAATCCATGAGGGAAAAGAGAGCCACTGAATTCTAGAATTGCACGCTGGACATAACTGAGGGACCGCATTGAGGAAGTTTATATAATTTATGGCTAAATTATTCTGTTTAATTAATAGTGTTGAAATTGAAATGATCAGTACAATGACAGCTTGGCTAAGTGGTGAAAAGCATGGTTACCATAAAAATCTATTTACAATGTGTGTAAGAAAGAGACTGAATATACAGTCAGTAATTGTACAACTTAACCAAACAAGAGGTGAGATCCTGTATATCCACACAGTAACACTGTGCAGTGAGATTAGTGTGGTGCTGACAGGCAGGGGGTAGTCAATGTCAGATTATACAGATTACAAACTCTCAGGGGTAGAATAATACATAGAGAGAAGGTGGTACGAGGTGAAAACCGGTAATTAACGGTTAGGGCAACAACGTTGGCAAGACTGTCACATTCCTGTCTACAAGATACAATTCTCTACATTCATATCTAAACTTCCGGCGCCTAACGAGTGACGTCACTGGCTGGGTTGAGGGTATTAGCTCGCTAGGCGCCTTACGAGTGACGTCACTGTCTGGCCGGTCTGATTGAGGGTGGGTGGTAGATGACTAAAGTTCTAAGTACTAGAGTTGAGAGCGATCTGACTGGTTCGCTGTGCTGCCGAAAAGTGCGCCCTAATTTAGAACTGAGGCTGAGGTCCATTACTAGTGGAACATATGGGATCTCATTTTTGTCTTTAGACTTCTCTGACATTATAAAAGATGAACAAAAATTTAACCAGGCACTAGCTAGCATTAAAGGAACTAATTAGTGTGGCTAGATATGGAAACTTTTTTTTGTTATGAAACTGAGAAATTATTTCAGTATTTAAACTGGATGGTATAATTACTAAGTACTATCTGCTATTATTAAAGACACAATTCTTTGCATTTTATATCCAATGAGATATTTTTTTTTTATTCATTAAAGTCAGTATAAGCCTCAGACTGGTAAAATGTGGTGGAAAATTATAAGATATTATTGTGTGACACAAATTGAAATCTGTCTTCCCAACCACCCACACAGATGGAGCCAGGATGACTGCTGTATTATTCAATAAAGGAACAAAAATATAGAGAAACATCCGTTAATACAGGGTTTTTTAAACAAATTGGTCATTAAAAATAAATAAATCACAAACTGTACAAATCAGCTATTAAACCAATAATGTGTTTTTTTCCCCCAAGGACACCATACCCCAAATACACCACAGCCAGAGGTGTAAATACATGAAATAGGTTTAAAAAAATATTAAGGAGAAAGATAAAATCTACTACAACTCCATATAAAAAATATATCCAAATTAACTGTACAGAGTGGCCCATAAGTCCCAATTTCTTTTGAAATCTGCACTTTTTGTAAAATGAAATAAAGAACACTCTTCACACATTAAGCACTTCAGCAAGCTAAAGTGCTTTAGGGGTCTGGCCTATTATAGGCAACCAGACCACTTCAACTCAATGAAGTGGTCTAGGTGCCAGGTCCCCCTAGTTTTAACGCAGCGTGAGTTCAGATCCCCATAGGAAAGCATTGAGTAATGCTTTCCTATGGGTAGTTTGAATGTGCGCGCGGCTCTGGCCGCACACGCATGATCGGCTTCACTCAGGAGCGGATGTCGGCAGGGGAGACGAGGTCACCAGCGCTGAGGGAGCCTGGCACTGGGTTAAGGTAAGTGGCTGAAGGGGTTTTAACCCCTTTAGCCCAGTGGGAAGGGGGCCACGAGGGGGGGCCGGACCTAATAACCCTATAGTGCCAGGAAAACGGGTTTGATTTCCTGGCACTATAGTGCTCCTTTAAAGAGAAGCCATTAAAATATAGCGGAACAAACACGTAGCAGAAGACTCAGTAAAGAATGCACAGAATTTCATAAAAGGCTAAATCAAGAAGGGTTAAAAGGACACACATATTCTACTCATCTTTAAGTTTTAAATCTATTTTGACTGTCATTAAAAAACTTTTGCACTGTTTTCATCACCTCTTCCTGATTTTCCTCTGTCTCTTAGAAAGTGCACAGCTCAGGAACTGAGAGATTAGACACAGAGTTTAGCTGCTGTGAGATAGGGAAGCTGCAGAGGGAAGGAGAATGACAGCCCAAGTAGACACATTATTATTTTTATTATTGCTATTTATATAGTGCCAACTTATTCTGCAACGCTTTACAATATTATAAATGGGGAAATTTAACAATAAATGAGAATATTACAAAATGAAACAGGAACAATGGGTTGATGATGACTCTTCTCAAATTAGCTTACAGTCTAGAGCACATAGTGAGTACAGTATATCACACATGCCTGTGTGTCTGGCAGTATACCTGTTGGTCTTCCCATCTTTTTTTATGAACTTTTTATTTCCAAATATTCTAAAAATATTTTTTTGGGGAAAAAGATTGCAACATAATCTAAATAAGAGAGATTCTTTCACTTGCTACAGGATGTAATGTCCTGATTTGATCCAGCTTGGGTTGCCATCTGCTCTGTTTTTTTACCAGCTCATACTGTAATTGAGGCTGTCAAACCAGTGACGGCATCGCAAATATACCGTCATTTCAAATATTGGTATTTATTCTCACTGCTTGTGATGTAAATCTCGTCCTGGGTGGACTGGGCGGAGTGGCAGTACCAACTAATACATCCCAGGCCAGCATTATAAGAGGTAAAACAGGTCAGTGCAGGAGTGCAATATATGTAACATATTTACTGGCTTCATAGATCTCATGCAGCAGATGACTTTATTCATCTGTGGCTGAGGACAGATGCAGGGCTGGTATGATGATGATAAGTTCTCCTCTGCGTCTGACAGCCGTGAAAGGCCGTAAATGGTATGTCATTAACTTTTAACATGGAATATGTGTAACTCTTCTCCAGATTCCCTTCCCCCCTTTCAGTCCTTGCATTCAGTGCTCAATTCTAGAATACAATGCCTGCATGAAAAAGCTCTGTGACATAGACAGCCTGACCTTTAGGACCAGTGACTGAGCACTCTTAACAGACACTTGCGCACACACACCGACTATCGCCTACAGTGGCCTATACGCACACACGCAGTAACCCATACACACTTACACACACAGTGACCTACATACACACTAACCCATACACACTGACACATGGACAGTGACCTATACACACTCACACAAAGTATGTTCACATTTTAAATGTCCATTACCAGAAGCTCTGTGGATGCCATATTCGACCAGCAAGAATCCAGTACAGCATTGCAGGTTGGACAGGGCAGCTCTGTGCAAACTCATATTGCCTGTCCCTGCAAATTTCACCTGTATGGTATGACATTCCTGAAGATGCCAGGGGCATGTGTTGTCTGGTTGTCAGCAAGTGCAATCTCACAAGTTTGATCGATACTCTTGAGTTTAAAAAATAACCCTTCTCTACCAAAAATGTTTCACGAAGACCTAATTATATATATATATATATATATATATATATATATTCATTTATTATTCACGATCATTGTAGTGTGCAGCAAAAAGTGCATATACTTTAAAGACAGTGGTACATACCAAGAGAAATCTTCATCAGAGCAGTCAATGTGTTTCATTTTAAAACAGCTGTAATAGAGTGTATAACAGCAGTTTCCAAACTGTGTGCCGTGGCGCCCTGCAGTGTGCGTGTGTGGTGGGGGTGAGGTGCAGTGAGTGTTCGAGGGTGCGTTGTGTTTGTGAAGAATGTAGTGTGTGTGTGTGTGTAAAAGATGCAGTGTGTGTGTGAGAGGTGCAGTTTGTGCATGAGGGGCACAGTGTGTTTGTGGGGGCAGGTTGTATGAGGGGTACAGTGTGTGAGAGGGCAGGTTGTGTGAGGGGTACAATGTGTGTGTGGGGGCAGTGTGTGAGGGGTGCGGTTTGTGTGTATGGAGGGGCAGTGTGTGTATATGGAGGGGCAGTGTGTGAGGGGTACTGTTTGTGTGTATGGAGGGGCAGTGTGTGTGTGTGTGTGTGTGTGTGTGTGTGTGTGTATGGGGGGTAATTGTGTGTATAGGTGGAGTTATTGTGGGTCTGTGGGGGTAGGAGAGCAGATAAATATAAACTTTAATTTTAATTAACAAAAGTTTTTAAATTTAATTTAAATTAAAAAAAAGATATTATTTTCATATCTCCCCTCCCTGCTTACCTTTGCCTGGGAGGGGGAACAGTAGAAGGCAACCCCTGGTGGTACACGTGGTGAGAGTGAACTCCAGCAGCCTCAGTAGCTGCTAGAGTTCACTCTTGCGAGATTCGGAGCATTGCCGTGGTAACTGCATCCACACTCATGAGAGGCGAATCCGGTGGAGTTGCAGGTTAGAGCTCCTCCGGGTCCTCTCTCCCTTCCCTGCCGGCTGCCAGCTGCCAGCATTACACTGCTAGTGGGCCGGATATGGATATCTACGACCTCCCCTCCGGTCCTGCAGAGCCAGCAGAGGAGAGGGAGGCATGGTTCACAGTGCCATCATCAGAGGACTGGAAAAATATCTTACAGCGTCCATGTGCCTGGCACACAGTTTGGGAACCGCTGATATAATCTGTAAAAGAGTTTATAAATTCTCCGGAGTACAGATATACCTTATTCTATGAAGAAACCAACAGAGAATAAAAAGAAAAGTTATTCATAGAAAAGGGAGTTATAAGCCTAAGTATACTATTTGCAGCCCTTCATGTTAATGCCTTTCAAAGAATGTACACTGGAAATCCTCTCATCCAATTATTTCATGGTGATAACCCACTAATACATGCATACATCATTTGCATTTATACAAGTCATTTAAAAGTAAAAGTTACTCATCATGACAATAACAGGAGTAGATTTACAGCGTTCTGTAATGGTTATGGTGGCAGGAGTGCTTTGGTGTATTCTCATTGTAAGTAGTCAAATCATTTGAAAACATACCTGGGTTCCACTGACAGCCAATTACCTTTTCCTCTAGAACTCAGAAGTTCATGCAAAGAGTGCTGTAGTGATTATGGTGCTTGAAATGTTTCTTTAATTCATGGTTGTTGCACTTCTCCTTGGTACATTGGAGATGATCACAAAAAATTAGTAACATGCTTAGATGAAGACATCATAAAACACACCTGCACATTCATGGATGTTTATTTTTATATTTTTGATAACTGAGATTAGTGCCTTAAATGAATTAAGGGCTGCCCAATGCATTCAGTCACACAATTCTGAATAAGTTTAATTGAGATCACTGTCAGGCCAATTCCAGGAGATATCCTCAAATGTTCACAGCCTGTTTCGTTCCTGGCAGTCTTGCATTCTGTGTGAAGGCACTTTGCATGCCATATGCCGCACATTTCAAGCACTGAAATATCAATTATTTGGAATCCCATTTTTTTAATGAGACGTTGTGCTTTGTAGCTCATTCTCTTTAACCTGATCTTGGTCCCACTTATTCACGTTCTACAAAAAACGATAACCTGAAAAAGTTCGCTAGTACATAACTGCCAGATTAAAATTACAGCATTTCCAGATGTCATTTGTGTTATACACCTTGAACCGGACTCATTCTGTATTGGAATACTTCAGACTCTGCAGTCTTATGGATAGAAAATGGAGTGTAAAATAAATATGACAAAGTTCAGTGCCTGGAGTCGTCTATCTTAGATGGTTACTCCAAGCACCAGGATTACTTCACTGATTTGAAGTGGTCATGGTTCCTGGAGTCTATATGTGCAGCAATTCGCTATGAAACGCTGCATATATGGAGATTATCCCCTCTGCTTCTAGAAGTGTAACTCCACCTATGGCAGCATCATAAGGACGTCATTTGCCAGGGTGGCTATTAATTCTAGGCAAAATTGGCATCTGAAGCCAGCAGGCACCAGTCAGCCAATGGCACTCCTGTCTTCCCTTCAGCTCAACCTCCCTGGGAAGGGCAGGAAGTTAGCAGAAGAAATTGGGGCTGATGGAGTACTCTGCCTTGGCAGATAAGGTAAGTTACAGCTGTTTAAGGGGGGAAGGGCTGACAATACATCACATCATCCTCATTCTTCACTAATCCACTGCAACTTAATTCCACTTTAGTCCTTAATCCCTAACTTTCTAGGTAGGAAAGGTTGTGATTGCTCCTACAGCTGCTGCTAGAGATAGCTGTGGAAAAAGGCATCTTCATGTGCAGTCAGGATTAAGATCACTCTTGCTGTGACCAAGGGATTAGACTGGAACCAGTCACATGTGTTAAAAAGAAGGCGGTGGGCCCAAACTGGTAACCTGCCTAGGACCTGTGTGATTTTAATGGACAACATTGACCCTTTCATCAAGTTTTGAGAGGAGATAGATTCTGTGTTAAATGGAGAATAAGTAAAAAAGAAAAAAATAATAAGAAAATCATGTCCCTGTCTTTAGTATATGACATGATTATTCATCCATATGCAATGCACCTTGGGTCAGACAGTGTTTGAGTGTGACAGTTAGTCTCTATGGTCTTCCCAGCTTCAGTCCCTGCACACAAGCTGGGGAGACCATAGAGACTAACTTCCCGTTTTCAAACACTGACAGAAGATGCATATTTAGTGTGCAGTTGACTTTATACAATTGAGATACTGAGGGACAAAAAGACTATTAACTAAAGTGAGAATTCACAATAAATTTCCAATTTAATGTCAACGTAGCTGAAATGGAAAAATTCTCTCAATCTGCCATGCTTTCAGTTCGGCTACTCGGCCTAAAATGTAAAATTTCACTTGAATTTACACTTTAGTGAATAATCCTGTAAGTGAAACGTATTCCTATGAAGTTAAAGGAACACTTTAAATCCTTAAAGCACTTTTGCTTGTAGATGTGCTTTAGGGGATAACAGAATGTCTCCTCGTTCACACCTTGTTAAGCGAAGTCAGCACTTCTATAAAAAGAATGAACAGTTCCCAACTGCTCCATGCCTTAGTGCAAAAATTAAAGAGCAATTCTGTCAGTGCTGCAAGGCAGTTGTCATGCAAACATTACCGATATCGGCCGATATTCGGTATTTTCGGCAATATCGGTATCGGCCAATAGAGATACCGATATTGCCGATAATAAATTCCAGGACCGCTGTCCCATTCATTATATACATAGACTACACAAGCACACTGCATTCACCCTTAAGCACACTGCATTCACTATACACACACTACATTCACTATACACACACACACACACACTACACAAACACTCTGCATTCACTATATATACACACACACTACACAAACACTCACTGCATTCACTACACAAACACACCCTGCATTCATTATATACACACTACACAAACACACTGCATCCACTACACACACACAGCTCCCCTGTCTAAACACACTGCATCCACTACATGTGGTATGTATATTTTGTGCATTTACCGTTAGTAATAGTTTATTTTTTCCAAATGGTACATGTACAGAATATTGGCAAGTTACCGGCTATCGGCCTGAAAGTTCACAGATTATCGCTATCGGCTTTAAAAAAAAATATTGGTCAATCCCTAGCATACATCATGCCTCTCAATGCTTCTCTATTAGAAACAATGGACTGATCAGAAGATCATTAGTGCGCATGATATCCTGGAAGTAGAGCAGAGCTGTAAAGAAACCCTTTCACCTTTGCATTAGTGGTTGGTTTTACAGGAAAAGGGGCCCAACAGATTCCCCAACACAGCGTTATCAACTATAAATGTATTTATTTATTTATAGCCTTGGAGTGTTATGCTTTAATGTTAAATTAGAATTCCATGTGTTGTATACATTTTGAGTGAGTAACAGAATGCATTTTGAAAGCAGGGAGCCTACGGTTAATGGATGAGACAGACAACTTTTTCAGTTTTGGAAGACTAGACACATAACAGATAAGTTTTGAATTCACACATTTTGCTAATCCATGGTTACTAAAAGGTTAGTGTTGTAGGTGAGGGAAGAGCAAAGAACAAGAAATATATGGTCGCCAAACAAGCAAAGTTTAACACTTAGACATGAAAATTACTTCCTCATTTATTTTAAATTTACAGGAATTAGACACATTTGCAACAAAATAAAAGATGGAAAAAGACAGAGGTGGAGGGTATAAATAGAAACTATATCAAGTGATGATAAAAAGATTTAAAAAAACAAAAAAAACCACACAACCATGACACACCCTCCTTAAATAACCATGTAATTCAAGTTTTAAGAATTTCTGCCAAACTGCTGTTCACAATAAGTGCCCCAGGAATTTGTGTACTGAAGAGTAATAGCAGAATAGCATACCACAACCTGCAGATTTCAGAGAGGAGGACCAGTGGGAATCTGGTAATGCTTGCCAAACGACAAATGAGAATGGTTCTGTCCTCTGTCAGAAGATTAATCCCAAGACACAATGTGTGAAGAGGCTGGAATGAAAATAAAAATCCAGAACGTTGCCACCACAAACTGTGCAACTAGGGTCTGAAAGCACAAGGTACTCATACCCCATAACAGTGTCCCATCTATCCCTGAAAATATTGCAAGCTTTCCATCTCGTAATATAAAAGGGAGAAGTTCAATCTTTTCTATGCATCAGTGGCCATACTCTCTGCTGCTTCTTCTTTCTGTTCAGGGTTCTCACTGGAAGTTGTCGCTTCACTCATTTCTACATCACTCTGTACCACTTTGTCCTGAGAAACAGCTGCAGGTTCCTCCTGGAGAAAAGATAGAGTGCATTAGACCTATTTGGTGGTGCCAGTGATTGGGCTTCTCAAATTGAAGTTTGTGTCAAAACGGGTATGTCCTTTGGATAGGATGTACATTGTTCTATTAATAGTTATGCTACAAAGTCACAGTCCATTAAATTCTATTTTTGATTAAGGAAACATGTTTAAGTTACCAGAGAGAAGAATGTGAAAATGTAACAAAGGAGAAAAGGCCTAATGTTAAGGGGAACGTGGGGGAGGAAGTCTGCCCCATCATGTTAATGCTTGCCCAATGACAAACCACACGTGTGACAGAGGTCAGAACTAAAAGGGGTCACACCATGTGCAGATCCTCCAGCATATTGTAGCTTACTTATGTTAACTTTAGCATTGTTAAAGCAGGGGGTTAAACTGCAGTACTTAAATCACTTTGTTTATGTAGATGATTAAAAATGAAACCATTTTGTTTTCATGCAGGCTGTGTCAGTCACAGCCTGGGGAGATGTGACTAGACCTGCATAAACAGAAACAAAAATTGATTCTCCTAAATGGCAGTGAGTTTAGCTGTGTGATTGCAGGGGCATGATCTATACTCCAAAACAGCTTCCTTAAGCTAAAGTCGTTTTAGTGACGGAAGTTTCCCTTTAATGCGGAAAACCAAACACACAAAATTGATTACTTTTTTTTGTTGTAGTTCCAAAAAGATGGCAGCTTATTTGTGTTTCTACAAAATAAATGAATAAAATATGAGCAAATTATTTTGAATTAAATGCGGAGCTCACAAACTGCAATTAAAGCAGCTATGTCACATTCAGCCATCACTGCATATTTTGTCAAATGTCTAATCGTGACATTGTTGATTCAAACAAAAGATACCGCTCTCACAGTGAAAACCAGGGGCATCAAAGACCAGGTTGGCAAAACCCAATTTAGTAGATAACAGTAGAAAGTAGGTCCAGGCACTCAAGGAGGCAGATTTATTGATTACTGAATTCGCAACGTTTCGTCCTTCACAGATGCCTTTGTCAAGCTGTCACCTCAGTGAAACAATGCCCTATTTAAAGGGTGTAAACTTTATTTGACTATTAACACAATTAGTGTTGATTAAAAGATAATAAATAAAAAAAGATACATATTAAAAAATAAAAAGATGAGGTATGTACAATATATTGACTATGATGTACATGCATGTATTTATGCACAACTCATTTTTTAATTGGATATACGTTTTGATATTGAATGATAATTTGCAATGTGCATCCTGCTGGAGAAGGTTAAAAACCAGTACTTTGAGTGTGTGGTTTGATCATCGAGAGAAAAAAAAGCTGCATAATCAGAGCACCCTGTACCTGAGATCCCAGCTTCTCGCCCACAGATGTCTCCCCCCTCATCTTCCCTCTATCTTTTCTCTTTTACACCCCTAGATAAACCAAAAAAACTGAGACAGGAGATGGTACACGGATTTGTCAGACAATATTCTGTGTTTAGTAAATTACCCTGTCAAATGAATCAATGTTTTTGTTTTTTAATGTAAACCCCTACAAGTCTCCAGTTTTAAGACAATGACAGCCATACATTGTTAATAAGGATTGGTAGGCCACGGCAGAAGATATAACCATTAACTTCAAGAAATAATAAAACCACTGATGATCTGTAGTTTTAAAAGCAGGTCCTTAAAGTTTTCAACAACAAAAGAAAAAAAAAAAAACATTTCTAGCACATGATTATCTGATGTAAAGTTTGTCAACTAAAATCACACCACTAGCAATAGCCAGTTACTCTCACCTTGTTCTCTTTTTCTGCCAACCTCTGAAACATGTTGGCATAGATCTTTCGCTCTCTTTCTTGCTGCTGTCGAATGCGAACCTGACACTGCGCAATGTGAGCTCGTGCTGCTTTGTTGCCCGGATATAGTTGCACCACTTTTGAAAAGTCATCCTTTGCAAGCTCTGGCTCATTTATCCCAAAGTAAGCCTCACCCCGTCGGAAGAGACCTTTCTCATTGTTGGGATCCATTTCTAATGCCTGATATTGGAGACATCAGATTTTTGTTTGTTTATTTCTGTAATATTATATCCTTATAATATTTTATATTCTGGTTGCGTATTTTGACTAACTATCATTACCATGTGCCACTCCTCATTTCTCCCACATCACAGTGGCATTCTTACATATATTCTTACCTTGTTGCAGTGTTCCAGAGCACCTCGATGCTCCCCTAATTTAAGGTAACATGCAGCTAAGTTAAGTGAGGCAGCCAGTAGAAGGGCCTTTGCCTTATCACTCTCTTCTTGCTGAAGTCCAGACTCGTGTTCCAACCAACTAATGATCTTCTTGTATTGGATAATAGCCTGGCGATACCGTCCAGCCTGAAAAACAGAACATTTGTAATGAGAAAATTAATGTAAAAAAAATAAATACTCCAAACAAGAAAAATGTTTCAATAACTTATAGATCGGATCAAACACTCTACTAGTAACCACTTGTGAAACACCTTCTGACAGATTACTTTACTTCAAATTAATTGTGTGAGTGGGAGGTCTGTACTTGCATTTCAAGTATTGGCTGGCATAAACTCTTTAGTGGAAAAAAAACAAAAAAAAACAGAGACTAAATTGAATATTTTTAAACATATTGGAAAGGTACACTTTTAAGTATATATACCATTTAGTAATAAATACAAAAAAAACAACAAAAAAAAACAACAACAACAACAACTGTCATGAGGTTGATGACAGGGAAGAGGGACAACTTGGTCTGTACTTCTAGGCTAAGTTCTCTTTCCTTGTACTGTATCAGAACATTGCCGAAGCTTACCATGGCAACACTCTGAAATATTCCCAGCACTAGCTGTAAGGAGCGGTCTGCACACACCGGGGTTGCAGACAAGTTGCATTTTCCACTTGACCACCACCACTTTCCACGCAGCCTCTTATGCCCCCACTACAGCCCCATCAGTGTGTTTATTTGTAGTGTGTTTGTGTGAGCTAAATTTTCCAGTAGGGTATTCTCTCTACATATTTTTTTTCCTTCAAAGAACCAACTTTTTGACATTATGAAGTATTTATATATAGGAATTAAAGGAACACATGAACCTATTTAAGAAGAAGTTGACAACTTACCTGGGGTCTGCTGGGCCACTTGCCTCCTCTACAGCCAGAAGCTCTACCACATAGCTAAGCCTGGCAGTGCTTACCTATGCTCATTGGCTGACTGCACTCTCACCTTACTTTCTCAGTCCATGAGCTAGGCTTGCATGGCAGTGTGTAACACAGTGGAGTTGAAGAAGTCTGTGACAGGCACCTGGTGAACTGCAGGCAAATTCTCAAACTGTTCTTAAACAATAAGACTATTTAATTTGAGAGGATGCCAGTGCACTCCTGGCACCACAACTAGTACAGAGGGCTGTAATGGTAAAGTGCCTGGAGTGTTCCTTTAAATAATCTATCAGTGCTCATCCAGAGATTAGGTTCTGGATCCATTTGTTTTCAATGATGGCCGGTAAGCACCGCGCTGTCCATCTTTAAATGAGGAAATTGCTTAGAGGCTTCCCAAGTGTGATTGGATGGGGGCGCTTGGTCTCCTATTGTGAATTGTCAAGCTGCCATTATATGTGCAACAACAAACCTTGAAATACTGGGTCCCACGTTCCTTCACCAGTCCTCCCTGCTCCAATTTCTCCTCTGCATTCATCTCCCATGATTCTTTCGCCTGTTTAGGAAATATTAATATTAGAATTGCAGTCGGTTGTTTTTCTAGAAACATAAATCACAAAATCTGCTTCCAATGGCCATCTGTATAACGGAAACGAACATTAGCACAAAGGGTCAAGCAATTTGACCAATTTCTTCTTAACACACCTTTTCAAAGCTTTTTAGTTTTATTTCATATTCAAGGTCTGCTCCAGGTGGAACTTGGAATTTCTCATAGCTAGTATTGCCAAATCCGTAACTGTGAAAGGCGATGGACAGCATTAAAAAAAGAAATTGAAAAAGTGACATATTACATCATCTGGCAACTACAAATCCTTTTGATAGCTAGAAATGAAAACAAAATATAGCATCGCATTACAAACAGTTTTGTTATTTTCATGCACTTTAAACCTCCTAACCATGGGAGTTTTCTAGATAATTTAATATCAAGCTGTCCAACTGTAGTTCTCCAGTTAAACAAAAGCTAACAGGTGGCCTATGGTAAGTTGCTCTCAGGTCTCAAACAAGCTTTTGGTCACTATTCGAGGTAACCTATCTCCTGACAGATTCCAATGAAATAGGGATTCCAGAGATTAAGGAAGTACAGACAAGCTCATCAGTAAGGAAGAGCTGATGCCTCTCTAATCACAAATTAGCAAAGTGTCTGATGGATGATGGGTGCCTAGCCTGCAGCTTTATTATGGTGTTTCTCAAACCCCAAACACTGGCACACAGCTCTCCAAACAATGAAGCACACATATTGAACTTTTTTTTCTTTCAAACACAAGTTGTAGTGAATTCTGCAAACTCACTTTGGCTTCAGATACAATATTGCCTCTTCTCCCTTTTCCATCTGTTGAACTGCAGTCTCCACACCTGGGGGGATTCCAAAACTCTCTCCTTCGCCCACCTCAAACTGCAACTCCCTCTCATCAAAAACACGACCATTGTGTGAGCCTTGAATCTTCACTGCAATGACAGACAGTGGATAAAGGTGTAAATCTTAAGAGGTGACTAGAAGACGTAGAAAACCAGGTCACAGAACTACAATTCCAATCTGTTGTCTAAATCCTTTTCAAGCTCTCCTCTTCTAACTCAGCACAAACTTTCTGTGGCTGTCCAATCTAAGACTTCCCAATGCAGGTGCACTGGGGATTTCCCTGCCTCTTGAGTTTAGTTTTACTGCGCTAAATATCCAAGAATCGACCTGTTGTCTGCTTGAAAGTCAAGGGGGTGTAACAAAGGTTAATTTGCTGTTAATTTTTCTATTGAAATATGCATTTTTTTTGCAAAATGAAAAATAAAAGAGAATGCACTCTTCACATATAAAAAACGTCAGCAAGCTAAAAGTGCCTTAGGGGTTTAGAGTGTCTCTTTAAGGCAACTTTTGGTGCTGGTACAACATCATATGGTGACTAAAAGCAATCAAAATAGTGACAGCAGTCAGAACATTTTTAAGTAACACTTCCATGTATGCAAAAGTATTCCTGAGACAACATAGCACAGTCTGACCCTTCTTTATGAGAAGTCAGTGAATAGCACAGATAATTATATCTTCTATTAGTACCTATTAGGACATTAGACCCATTTTATTTAGAGAGTTAGATACATAAAGCAAGTGTGCTGGATCTTGTATGTTGTGTGAATTGGCCCCAGCAGCACCCTTATAATGCATGCATGGTCAGGTTAGTGCGGCCCTCTTGGTTTCATATATTAACATATTTGGGAGGCAAGGCCAACTACCCAGTTTTGCACCTCTCGCTGTCACAGGTGCCTCATTCCAGAGCCCTATTTTACATTTCACTGCAGAGAATTCCAAGAGGAAGGATTTTCCGAGAAAGTAGATTCATCTCTGGTTGCTAGGATAGGACATGCCAAATATGGGGTAAATTGGCATTGTGGCTGGCCTATGAAATGTATGATCATATGCTGTAACTAAACCACCATTATTTTTACATAGTTTGGGTGTTTAAATATATATAAAAAAATAAAAAATAAAACATTCTGTAAGCTTTGAAATTGCATTTTAGTGAATGAGTGAGTATGCTGGATCTTGCATATGATACAAGATACATAAATTATCCCTAAGCAACATAATGTTAAAACTGCAACCTGGTGTGGTCTACTACAAAGCACTAGTAGGGATACCCTGTGCCAAGACTTGCCTTCTACCACAGCTCCTTCATTGGGCTTGGAATAGCCCTCTCCTTTCACTCTGATTCTCCGTATGATTCCACCATCTCCCTCTTCTGTAAGGTCCTCACCATGAAAGTCAAACAATTCAATCTGTAGGTTTACACAAGAGGCAGAAGGCAAAGAATAAGCAGAGTTGGTTTACGGAGCAACAATGATCAAACACCATTCATCATGGGGTGATTTCAAATACTTTGACAGCATGGTGCCTAGACATGGAAAAATATAGTGATGTATACACATGGAGGTGGACACACATTTCCACGGTAAGGTACAACAGTCGCATATTTTCTAAATATAAATGTAATCCCTAGGAGAGGAGGCTGCACAAGGAAGTCGGACAGACACAGGAAAAGTGTTTGTGGAACCAGAATACACAAGGTGTGATGTGTACATGGAGGCAGAACACTTTAAAGATGCAAGCAAGCACGCACCCGAGACTGCTGAGAGAGCATGAATTTACCTACAGTGACTACACACAGAAACCTTTACATCCCCTAGGATTAGGAAATACCTACATGAAGCAATACATAAACATCAGGAGAGTGCCAACATGTACGATAGGCAAGAACAATTATCAGTCAGAAGCTGAAGGTCTACACAAGAACAAGGCACACAGAAGATGGAAAAAAAATAACACATGGACTAAGACATAAGGGAAGAGTTCAGTCTCTCACCTCAAAGATTAGCACTGCATTGGGTGGGATTTTGGGAGGGCTTCCTGCAGCTCCATAGGCATACTCTGGCTTGCACGTAATCTGACAAATTTCCCCAATCTTCATGGTTGCCACAGCAATGTCCCATGCTTTTATTACCTGACCTGGTACAAATAAAAACAAAAACATATACAAAACTTAATTAAATTGGGTAGCAGCTGGGCCATGATACTTTCACATATTTTATTTTTGTAAAACATGTAGAGTAGATTTAACAACCTGAAATGACCCTGGAAGTAATATATCTGCTTTAAAATAGCATATAACTCAGATAAATGTCAGATTATAAAAAAAAAAAGAAGAAGAAGATTTTAGGATGGGAACGGGGGACTTACTGTAGTGAATATGGTGCGGACATTGCAACTTTAATCTCAGACTTTCAGATGTTCAGTCTGTTCACTTTTACTATTTATCAGTGTTGCACTAAGACTACCTCTGCTTTTGTTTATAGACCTTGGGATCAACATAAGAAATATTGAGCAAGTGTATTGGTTTGAATTTTTTAGTGCTATTAAGTCACTTACACATATTTTGGGTAATTTTTTTGGCACGTGAATTTGTGTTTTGGCATTTATTAAGTACTGAAATTATATTTATATTGTTGTCACTATTGCACTTTAAATCAATTATTTTATTGCACGTCATATTTTTTAAAGGAACAATATAAGGTCTTGAGCACAAATATGAATTCCTGACCCTATAATGTTAAAACCACTATCTAGGTCCTCTACCCCCTTTGCCCACCTAAATATAGCAAAATCTTACCTTTATGCAGTCTCCTACTGCTGGCTCTGCACCTGATCTGTCTGCTTGGTGGACATCATCAGAAGTGGTGTTCTTAGCCAATTACTATGCTTGCACATTGGATTGTCTGAGCTTGTCAAGGAGGCAGATCAGAGGCAGAGTCAGCACAAGTCAAAACACAGCCCTGGCCAATCAGCATCTCCTTATAGAGATGCAGAGGGTGGAGACACTGAATAGCGCAGCACTGCCACAGGAAGCACCTCTAGTCGCCATCTGAGGAATGGCCAGTGGAGGTATCGTAGGCTGTAATGTAAACACTGCATTTTCTCTAAAAAGAAAGTGTTTACTGCAGACTGACGGCAATGATTAGTCACCAGAACAACTACAGTTGTATTTGTTCTGATGACTATATTGTGTACCTTTAAATGGACACTGTAGTCACCAGAACAATTACAGCTTATTGGATTTGTTCTGGTGAGTAGAATCATTACTGAATATAGAGTAGGGGTAATGGTATTGGACCAACCAACACCAAAGCCCCAGAAATAGGTTAAGGAGGTATACGGGGCTTAACCCCACAATAAATCCAAAAGTTGCAAACTGAAAGAATGGGATGGAAAGACCAGTCACTTAAAGTGAATGGGATTCAATCAGAATCCAAAAATACCTCCTAGAATAAACATTACAAAAATATTACTTTGAGCTCCCTCGATTGAGGGATCAGAATACTTGCTTTATTTCCGGTTTGAATTTTCCATCAAAATACTAATAATTATCCATTTAATTTTTTGGATGTCAATGGCCATCTATTTGTCTATGTGCTTTGATTGAGGAGATCACAAATATTCCCTCATAAAACTTTCATTTGATCATTTGATGAGAATCTTTTTTTTAGCATTTTTAATTCATCTGTTATGCCTCAGTCCATATAGTGGAGTATCACTATAATGTACTCTGGCTCACTCACTACCGTCATTTGTGTAATTTGTCAATTTCCTAAGCGGGGACATTTTTAGCCCAAATATATCTCTTCTTTTCAATTTTGGGTCAGAGAGGAACACTGTCCTATGTAAGGACATCTATGATGTATGATATAAGAGTTTAACTCGTATCTCTTACCCTGTGATACCTTTTTGATATTTATGTATCTATTCATGAAGAGTTTGGGACAAGCTGTGTTTGGAGACTGGCATTTGGATACATAGTGTGTATCCGTGTATCGGTTAAAATAAGACCTCCGTGTCACTGTATAGAATGAATGAACACATTCTCCTCCCCCCCACGGGACAAAACGCAACATTACCACGCCTACTTTTTACTTGATTGACATAGCAATATAGGAGGAGAATACAGCACAGATGATGACTAATTAATTGATGGATAACACCCATGGATTGGTGCAGGAATTTCTGAGGGGAGTGGCCACGCTCCCTTATAACCAGCTTCTAGCTCAGTTACTTTTTAGCTCTTGACAAAGGCGTATTGAAAACGCTGAAAGGCGCGTCGAGCATTTTGCCGATGCATTTACTTTTATTAAGCTTTTCTTAATTTTCTCCTTTTTTTGTTTTATACCGGGATGTGACTGATGCCTTTATTATTTTCTTCCACTATGTGCTGATATGTATTTATAGGGATATTGTTAGGCTGCCTTGAAGTAGCAGTTAATTGATTTGGCCTATTTGTGGGCTAGACAGTTAGTCCAGGGTGTCCTAGGGTATTTCCTGTTGTCCTCTCCAGTCATAGAGTTTGGAGAGGGCTCCTCTTGATGTTACCTGTGTGACTTAGTCACTGCTTTTGTTCCATTTTATATGGACTTTAGATTTGGATTTATATTTTTACTGGAACTTCCATCTACTTTTACTAAGCGGGACTAATTATTTTCAGAGAGGTTTATTAGCAGGGACGGTTACATATTACTAGTATCTGTCCACGTTCCTTTGTGGCTCTGCTTTCTAAATATGAGCTACTCTGGTATTTTTTGGGGGCACCCCTGATAATGACTACAGTCCCTTTATTATATTGGCATTTTACCCACTACCAGGCACCTACGATCTCAGCAACACTACCAATGGATTTTGCTGTTATTAGCGCTATATGGTGTATTTTACCAGTTCTATGTGGATCAGTGTAAAACACTTGCTCCTTCCTTCATTTATATTTGTTCATATATTGTAGATTTCTATGGTTTTACCTTGACCTCTCTGAAGCTATATATGATTCACCATAGTGGACTCTACAATCTGTATACAATAATGCTTGTATGAGGTTTAGGAGCATTGTCCCAGGTATCTTTTAAGATTTTCTTTACCCTTACTTCATCACCATTTTCACACATTTTTTGTATATTTATTTTGGGTAGATTGCCTATATATTTATAGTTAATAAAGGTTATTACCATATATTTTTGTAACGTTTATTCTAGGAGGTATTTTTGGAATGTGACTGAATCCCATTCACTATAAGTGACTGGTCTTTCCATCCCATTCTTTCACAAATATTTGTGTTCAGCAAAGTCTCCCGAGTACAACAGTACCCCTCATGTACAGGTTTTATGGTGTTTTCAAAAGTTACAGCGTCAAATATAAGGCTTGCGTTTCATTTTTTTCACATAAAAATTCGCCAGATTGGTTACGGTGCCTTTGAGACCCTATGGCAGCCCAAGAATGAAAATTACCCCTATGATGGCATACCATTTGCAATAGTAGACAACCCAAGGTATTGCAAACGGGGTATGTCCAGTCTTTTTTAGTAGCCACTTAGTCACAAACACTGGCCAAAATTGGCATTTTTTGCATTTTCACACACAAACAAATACTAACGCTAACTTTGGCCAGTGTTTGTGACCAAATGGCTACTAAAAAAGACTGGACATACCCCATTTGCAATACCTTGGGTTGTCTACTATTGCAAATGGTATGCCATTATGGGTGTAAATTTCATTCCTGGGCTACTATAAAATCCCAAAGGCAACGTAACCAATCTGGCGAATTTCAATTTCAAATGTAACGTGCTATATTTGACCCTGTAACTTCCCAAAACGCCATAAAACCTGTACATAGGGGGTACTGTTTTACACGTGAGACTTTGCTGAATACAAATATGTGTATTTTATTGCAGTAAAAGCAAACCTTATTATGACATTGACAGTTAAAATGTCATGTAGAACTAAAAAAAAATCTAACAAAATCTTATTTTCTCCCATTTTTTTCATATTAAATTATGTTTCATAGCCAAATATTTGATATGAAATGAAAGCCCTGTTCCCCCTGAATAAAATGAGATTATATATATATATATATATATATATATATATAAATATAAATGATATATTTACTATGAAAGAGTTGAATTACGGTTGGACAGACATGTAGCGCAAATGCCAGGTTTTGTTTACATTTTGTTTTGTTCACAACGTGTAAATTTGGCTCCGTCCTTAAGGGGTTACTTTTTTTATTTATTACCACCTTTATGAAAATATTGGAATGTGATTTTTTTTTTTGCACACAATTTATTAAGTGTTCTTGCATAGCAAGACCACTTAATGTTATCTCACATATATATTATTATTCGTATTATAGCCAAATTTGCCACCCTAACTCCTCCCACAGTTTTTACACTACATAGACAGTAATATACCGAAACGTGCAGATTGTGCCCGATTGGATTGCTATTACTTTGTGGAATGTTTCGCCGAATGGTTCAAGGAATATCGTCGTTCTTGTGTCGAAATTGGTCCCATAGGAATGAATGGCAAAATGTTCAAAATTATTAATATGTGTTATTTATTAATCAGCTCATCAGTATTATTTTGGTTGCTGCACTTATTTATGTGACACTATTTATTTATTTTTAAAGTTATAGTACTTGCACTTGGCAATTGTTTTCTTGCACTACCTTATTCATTTTATTTAATTTGTTTAATCATTTTCTCTATCAAAGAAAACAAGCAACGCTGCTTACCTTTTCCCAGATCAAATGAGAATTTATCCTTCTTGTCCCTACTTGAATCAAAAACGGATCCATCCTGCAGCCAGCCAGTGTAATGCACAGTAACTTTATCTCCAATCATCGGGCACTCAGTACCTGTGCCTTCCTTTTTGATTATCTGTGGTAAAAATAAAAAATGAAATAAATAATAAATAAATCACATTAAGAACCAGATACATAAGACACAAAAAAATCTTAGAATTTGGAAATAAATGCTGAGTGCATTATAAGGAGGTGGTATGTTAAGCACCATACAACCCATGCTCTTTGTGGTGCTGGAAAAAGGTTATGGTGCAACGAGCTACTGTTTCACTGTTTCTCTTGTCTGTCACTGTAACACTTATAGATGTATATTTAAAAGTGCATGGAATATGCAAGCATTGTTACCCCAACAGTAAGAAAATATATTGCTTACAATATAATATATATTGTGTGTATTCCACAAAGCTCATGTCTCCACTCTCACATCAATTTTAACATGATCTAGCAGCATGCGCATCTCATGGAACTGACAAAATAAATGAAATAAAATACACACACACACACACACACCACAATCTTGCTTAAAGGGATACTCTGATCATCATAACCACTACAGCCTTCTTAGTTGCCGCGGGGCTCCAAGGTTTACCGATGTTCTGGTGACATGTCTCCATCCAATGGCTGAGAGTGCCAATGACTGACATTCTGTGCAAAGAAATTTGCACAGAATTGATGTTATCCTGCCCGGAACTCTAGGTCTGGAATGACTGATGACATTCCAATCATGCTGGAGGTGGAGTTACCCCTTCTGCAGCAAAAAGATTAAACTCCATATGAGCAGCTTTTCAAAGTGCTGCAAACACAGACTCCTGGAGTAACCCTTTATGATATGTATTTTAGTCCATACATTTGATAGCACACTAAGAGATTACATGTGAACTGCACATAAAACAGACTGCCATCAACACATTGATCGATGACCAGTGAAAGTCAACCAGACCAGAATACCCCATGTGAACCAAAGAGTAACACATTTTGTCATATATTTGTTGCACACAGTGTGAGTAAATTTTCACTAAAAGGTATAAAAAAAAAACAAAAAAAACATTGCTCTGATAATGCATAGCACTTTTAGACTCACTTGTTTAATCCACGATTCCTCTGCTGGAGCAATAAATGCCCAAGTAAATATATACAGTATGCAGGTATAATCAGCACAGGTTGTGGCCTATACACTCAGTTCCATATTTATTCACTTGTGCGAGCACCTATCCATTGGATGGTACACTACATGGGTAAATACAACAGACACACACACATATATATATATATATATATATATATATATATTAAGCTCTTTAATACTGAAACACACCCCCTTCCAATGTAGTGGTGGGATTAAACCAGCACACTAGAAAGTGTCCCGCACTCACCCACACAATAAATACACAAGATATGACAGTTTTTACAAAGAAGTCAGTAACAGTCCTGCAGATCCATGCATGTAACCCTAAGCAGTGTGCAATAGGGGTACCCAAAATACAGAATACCCATGCTGTAGTAGAACTATAAATACATTAGGAGAGTTGTAGTTATATTGCAGGTTTAAAGCCTTGTCAGTCCATCTCTCTCTTTAGCAATTAAGGTAAAAAGCCTCTTACCTTCAGCACCCCCTGATCCTCCTTGGGTGTGATATCTGTCCCCTCCATATTACCAGTTTGCTGTCCCTCCGCCTTGAGCTCTTCTGCAGTCATTGTGTGACTTTATTTCTGCAACGGTTGTCTCTGTGTGTTGCACAGTGTTGTAGTGTCTCTCCAGGTGCAACTGTCTCTTTGTATCAGTCTCTCTCTAGGTGTCACGGTCTCCTTGAGTTGCTGGCAGTCTCTCTCCAGCTGTGACGGTCTCTGTGAATTGCTGGCAGTCTCGCTACAGCTGTGACGATATCTTTGAGTTGCTGGCAGTCTCTCAGCAGCAGTAACCGTGTGTCTGTCTATACAATGTGCATACAGGCTGTGCAAGGCCGGAGATTTACAGCCAGCTTACTGCCCCTCCCCCTATTCTGAGCAGTACGAGGAGGAGGCAGCCTCCAGGACAGACTAGAAGTTTCTAGGAGCAGATAGAAGTTTCCATTTAGGGGAGGACTGTCTCTTTAATTTTTGCTTGACCATGGTAGAAATGCTCTCTTGCTACAAACTGGATTACATACTCTGATACTCCAACTCCCATCAGTAGTGGTCCATTAGTGTATAGTGATGAGTGGGGAGTCGTGATGCACACAAAGATGGAGAATTCATATAGGCGTTCCTATTTAATTAGCTAAAATTGATTATTCAGTGAATAATCGTGTTGGCATCATGCGTTACGTCATATTGGTGCACTGTAATATGCCCAGTACTTAGACCTCCACTAAGGGTTCTGACACTGTGATTGCCGATACTCTAACGTTCTGTCAGCTTCTATCAGAATGTTTCCTCTCACAGCTCTGCAATCATGGGAATTCCTCTTCACCTCTGGCAGTGTTATTGAGCCATCATTAGCCAGTTAAGTCAGCTACTATGCTTTGACCTTCAATTCTACATTTTATAACAAGACAGGAGGCTTCATATTTTGCATAATCTTTCTTTACTCACTCCATAGCAGCAAAGAAAAAAACGTAGAAAAATTGAGAGCCAATCAAATATAAGCAGTGACTATAAGAGGCATAGCCAACAGCATCACTTCCTCTTTCTTTGCTGCCCCATCACAAGATAAGTACTGAATGTATTTCCACTTTGTACTTTTGCTATTATTCTGTAAAATTTTCTATTTTTGTTCTGTTCAGGTTTCTGCCAATTATAGGTTATTTTGTTGTCTTGTGTTATTTGGGGGCTTGAGGGTCTCATCTCCCATCCCTCATTCTGCCTCTGGCTCGCTGTTGTATCGGGACGTCTCCCTCAGGCTTTCCCGCGCTCAAGCGAACACTCAGATGCATTCGGCTGCTTTCTACCCAATGCGCCTCTTTTGTCCCACGAACGTCTGCCTAGTGCGAATGTTCGGGACTTAGTTTCTCTTTCGCGTGCGCACAGGGTTTATTTGCCATACGTTCTCGCATACTTATTCCAGAACACCTAACCGTTCGGTCGCCGTTTCCTTTTGGGTTGCTTCTGAGTTCGACTGCCGAACGTTGTAGACGTGCCTGATTTCCGCAATTTTCGTGGGAGATGCAACTACTCCCATTTTGGCTCTGTAAGCTCGCGAGAACCGTGCAGACATCTTAGGTACTCTGGAATCCCTTCAGACGAAGCTGTCTCTCTCTGCTAGTGTTGCAAACTTTACCTTGCCATCCACCTTCATACTGGGACCAGGCAGCAGGTTGGTACCTTGCTTGGGGTTTTGTGCTGCTGAGCAGACCTGTGCATGCAGACTCTGATTCTCCTGGGTGAGCCCCAGTGACTTATAGCCTTCCCATCATATTGGCCTACTGGCATTCAGAACACCTGTGACACACCTCCTCCCTGGTCCCTAGGCCTTTCCTACCCTAGTGCCGCACATTGACCATCGCGGTCTCTGAAGATTGTCCTTTTATGGAAGAGTCGCAAGCCCCAGTCGACCTGCAGGCCATGATTGCCGTGGCTGTGGCCACTATATAGTTACATAGCTGAAAAGAGACTTGTGTCCATAAAGTTCAGCCTTACTCACATATGTTTTTGCTGTTGATCCAAAAGAAGGCAAAAAACCCAGTCTGAAGTGCTTCCAATTTTGCAACAAACTAGAAAAAAATTCCTTCCTGACCCCAAAATAGCAGTCAGATATCTCCTTGGATCAAGCAGCGATTACCCCACTAATTAGAAATTATATCCAAGTGCTGTTTTAACATCTGTATGGACTCTGATAAAATCACCTATTCAGGCAGATAATTTCATATCCTTATTGCTCTTACTGTAAAAAAACAACAACTTTTCTTTGCCCTTAGATGAAATCTCACTTCTTCCAGCCTAAATGCGTGACCTTGTGTCCTATGTATAGCCCTGCTTATGATTTCCAGATAATGGTTTCTACTGGCCCCGAATATATTTGTATAATGTTATCATATCCCCTCTGAGGTGCCGTTTTTCCAAACCAAAGAGATTTAAATTCTTTACCATTTCTTCATAACTAAAATGTTCCATTCCTTTTATCAATTTTGTGCCATGATATCCTTATTTAGAACAGGTGCTTAAAATTACACAGCATATTCAAGGTGTGTTCTTACCAGCGATTTATAAAGAGGCAAAATTATATTTTCATCCTGAGAATTTATGCTGCTATTTATACATGACAAAACTTTACTGGCCTCAGCAACTGCAGATTGACATTGCATATTGCTGCCTAATTTGCTGTCTATAACAATTCCCAAATCCTTCTCGTGTGTGGTTATCCCTAATTCACTACCATTTAGGGTGTAAATTGCTTGTGCATTCTTGGCCCCGAAGTGCATAACTTTGCATTTCTCTACATTAAATTCCATTAGCCATTTTAGTGCCCAGTCCCCCAATCTAAATCCCTCTGCAGCAAAGCAATATCGTGCTCACATTTTATTACTTTACAAAGTTTTGTGTCAGCTGCAAACACTGAAACATGACTTTCAATGCCTATTTCAAGATCATTTATAAATATGTTAAATAGAATTGGTCCCAAAATAGAACCCTGAGGGACACCACTTACCACTTTTGTCCAGCTTGAAAATGTACCATTAATGACAACTCGTTGTACTCTCCAGTGCCAGGAAAACAAATCCATTTTCCTGGCACTGCAGAATCCTGCAGTGCCCCCATCCCATGTTGCTCGTCGCTGTATCAGGCTCGCTCCGCCCACGCTTCTCCCCAGCCGACATGGGAGACCTAATGCGCATGCACGACAATGGCCCGGCGCACATTAGAACGCCCCATAGGAAAGCATTATTCAATGCTTTCCTACAGGGATTCCGGTGACACTAGAAGTCCTCATGCATAGCGTGAGGACGTCCAGCGTCATTTAACCCCTCAAGGACACATGACATGTGTGACATGTCATGATTCCCTTTTATTCCAGAAGTTTGGTCCTTAAGGGGTTAAAACACTTTGTGATAGACAGCCACTAGAGGAGGACTTAACTCTGCAAGGTAATTATTGCAGTTTATAAACACTGCAATAATTACATTTGCAGGGTTAAGGGTAATGGGAGTTGGCACCCAGACCACTCCAATGGGCAGAAGTGATCTGGGTGCCTGGAGTGTCCCTTTAAGCCAATGTTCTACCCAAGAACAAGAATATTAATCTAGACCAATTTCTTTTAGTTTGAACCCTTTTTAACTATAGGAACAACATCTGCCTTCCTCCAATCCTCTGGTACAATCCCTGAAACAAAAGAATCTTGAAAGATTAAATACAGGGGTTCACTAATTTCCCCACTTAGCTCCTTAAGTACTCGTGGGTGAATACTGTCAGGCCCCGGAGCTTTATTTACTTTAATTGTCTTTAACTGCTGTAGCACCTTGTCTCGAGTCATCCAATTACAAGTTATCTGCAAGTTTTTTGCAGCAATCATTTGCAAATCTCTTGCCATAGGATCTTCATTAATATATTACTGAATAAAAACGGTTATTTAAAATGACTGCCTTTCCCTGGTCTTCATTAACTAACAGACCCATCTCTGTTTCCAGTGCACCTACACTTTAGTTTTTTTCTTTTTTTTAGAATTGATGTACTTGAAAAAATGTTTTGGGTTGGTTTTGCATTATTTGGCTATCAATTTCTCATTTTCTAGTTTAGCCACTTTAATTGCCTTTTTGCAAGCATTATTGCCCTCCCTATAGCTTATATAAGATGCCTCTGAATGCTTTAAATGCCCTTTTCTTAATTTTAATCTCTTGTTTTTACTTCTCTACTAAGCCACATTGGTTTCAATGTGTTTCTTTTATATTTATAACCCAATGGTACATACTGAGAAATGTACCTTACTAATATTTGTTTGAATATTTCCCATTTATCTTCAATGTTTTTTTCACTAAGGAGTTTATGCCAGTCGATATGTTGTAGAGCTGCCCTAATTTTATTGAAATTGGCTTTTTAAAAATTATACGTTTTAGTCTACCGCCCGTGCTTTTGCTTTTTTGAGTTTATTAAAAAAAATTACCATATTGTGATCACTATTTCCCAAATGCTTCCGAACTTGAATGTTGGTCAAAAGATCAGCATTGTTTTTTATAACGAGATCCAGACAAGCATCCTTTCTAGTTGGTGCTTGTACCAGTTGTAACATGAAGGTGTCATTTAACACATTCAAAAAACTGATTCCCGTTGCTGAAGTACTAGTCACTCTATCCCAATTTATGTACGGTTTATGTACGGGTAATTAAAATCTCCAATAATTAACATGTTACCCCGATTTGCAGCTTTCCCAATTTGCTCCAACAGCTGTTCTTCCTCATTAATAACATTAGGTAGTTTATAACATATCCCAACCAATAATTGATTTCCCTTTGTTTGCGTCAGCAGATATCAACCCATAAAGCTTCCACATTTTCCTCGTCACATTCCACATCCACATGCCTCAGATTTGAACTCATGGTTGACATACCCCACCACCCATCTTGTTTTTCCTATTCTTCCTTAATAACATATATCCATTTAAGTTAACTGCCCAGTCATGTGTCTCATCCCACCATGTTTCTGTTATGCCTATTATATCATATTGTTTACTGTATGCTATTGCATCTAGTTCCCCCATTTTGTTATATAGGCTCCTTGCATTAGTAAGCATACATTTAATATTATCATGAGTCATTTGTATGTTTTGTGAATTTTTATCAATATTACATACCTCCTCTGTTCTGTGCTTTCCCCTCCCTCCTTCTCCACCCCCATTATACTGAGCTAAAGCCCATCTACTTTCTATCCTATTTCCATTTTCCCGATTGCTTTGGCTCTCCCCCCTACTACTAGTTTAAAATCTCCTCCAACCTTCTATCCATCCTATCCCCAGCATAGCAGACACTGTTCCATTTAGGTGCGATCCATCTATACAGGTTGTACCCAAGCGCAAAATCGTCCCAGTGCTCTAAAAATCCAAGACCCTCTTTCCTGCACCAAGACTTCAGCCATGCATTGACCTGTCTATTTTCCCGCTGCCTTTCTGCTGTAGTGCGCGGTACAGGTAATATTTCTGAAAATATTACCTTGGAGGCCCTTTTTTTTAGCTTACTTCCTAGTTCAATGAACTCATTCTTTAGGACCTTCCGTTTTCCTCTGACTTTGTCATTGGTACCCATATGGACCATGAGAGCTGGGTCATCCCCAGCCCCTCCCAATAATCCCACCACTCTGTCGGCAACATGCCGGACCCGAGCACCTGGGAGACAGCAAACTGTCCGATTGAGGCAGATTACCCTATCTACTCTCTTAATAATAGAGTCCCCTACCACCACAACCTGTCTAGCCTTCCTTACCCTCTCAACCCCACTAGAGGGGCTGTTCCCACGGCTGTTAGAAGGACCAGCTTTGATGGAGAAGGCACTTTCCAAGGCGTTTCCCTCAGGCCAAGACCCCGCTAAGATGGCTCCCAAACGAACCCATCACGGGGCAGATTCAAAGGACTCTGATTCCTCTAGGGAACTGTCCTTCGCAGCCAAACGCCACTGGAAGGGTGAAAGCTTTGCTGCTAAAAAGGGTAAGACAAAGCGCCTCTCAAGCGTGGAAGAACCATGGTGCAACTGGTCCAAAGACCTGCTCAGATTCCCTCCTCGGATGAGGAGCAGGAGCCCACAAATGCGCTCTCGATCCTGGATGAGTTTCGGGCGGAAGTGTCCGACTCGGATGAGGGCCCATGGGACTCCACAACTAGGTCCGACATAACAGAAACATTTCTGGGTGAGCCCCAGAAAGAAGGCACAGTGACCGGTGGCGACCCGGGCTATCAAGATGACACTGAAGTGTTCCTGGATGCTTGCGGTCAACACATGTTCGACTCGCGGAACATACGCCACCCTCGCTCCGGTAACTGGTCACCCCCAGCACACTTAGCCAATTTCATGCACTTTTGGAGTTTAGGAAACGTATGAGGTCGGAATGCCCTCGCCCTATGCTGGCCAATAAAGTGGCCTACACCCCGGAATTCGACCAGCTCATAATGGCGTTTATGGCCCGTGGTGGCAGAGACCCTCGCAAAGGGATCGAATGTGGCTTTAAAGGGGCACATGATAAACTGCTGGATGCCATCAGGCCTCTGTCCCTGGTGAAGTACTTGGCTGATGACGCCTATTCCCGTGCGGATACTTTCACTTCATATATGGTGCGCAAGTGGGCATGTGATATGAGAGAGTGGGCACAGAGGTGCTTTTGCTTCCTCGGCAATACTAATGTGGCCCTCTCTTCGGAGAGACGATGAGCAGCACTTTTCCGCATAGACAAAAAACTAGCCAATCTCAACACCTAGGGTTTCCTCTGGCACGGGACCACGTGGCAGTTCACATGCCTGCCGTTTGGACTCAGCTCAGCTCCCTGGTGCTTTACAAAGATGCTAAAACCCGTAGTAGCGCACTTCCGGGCTCAGGGGAAATGTTGCATCATATCTCTAGATGATATCCTACTCTTCGCCGAGTACAGGAACACATTACAAGTTCACACAAAGGAGATTTTCAAACTACTGTCTACCGCGAAACATCACTCTGCTAGCGGAACATTTGCCAGGAGAATCCAACCTCACAACAGACTGCTTCTCTCGTTACTGGCGGGACAGAAGCGACTGACAATTTAATTTTCTGGTCTTTGCCGACCTGAATTACCAGAGAGGGCCATTTCGACTAGACCTGTTCTCATCCCGCAACAACTGCCAAACACCGGAGTTCTTCAGATGGCTTCCGGACCCAGAGAGTGTCACGGTGGACACCTTCCTTCAGACTTGGCCACGCCATGGAGCCTATGCCTTCCCACTGTTTGCGATGATAGCGAGAGTCCTACACCAGGTCCGCCGTCAGGAAGTGTCTCTGACGCTACTCACACCTCTATGGCAGAGTCACCCTGGTTCCCAGACCTACTGGAGTTTTTTATGAGGATCTCCTCCTCCTGCCGAATGACCCTTCAGTCCTCAGTACCTGTTACTACAATCACATCCGATGATCCTAGACGGCCATCTCCTCTTGGTGGCTTGGATGATTTCAAGGGTGCTAAGGACCTCCTCTGGGACTCCTAGGGGTCAGGGACGAGAAGATGCTACCTCCCAGCCTGGCTGTCCTGGTCCAATTGGTGTCTGGGGCGGAACCTTGATCCCTTTACGGCCCCTGTATCCTTGATACTGAATTTCCTCTCATCGCTATTTATCGCTTGGAAATCTTATCGTTCCATTAACATGGTTTGGTCGGCTATCTCAGCAGCCCACATACTATCGCAGGGAAATCCGGTGGGGCAAGATCCCCTTACCTGCTGCCTTCTCCGCGGCATTCGATTGCGTCGTCCTCCAGGACCCAGATATTCACAGCTTTGGGACGTCAGGGTTGTCCTCGAGTATTTGAGTAAGTGGCCCTCTAACGAACGACTCTCAACTTACAGCCAAGTTTACTTTTCTTCTCTGCTTTGTCTCTTTCCAATGGGTTGCAGATGTGTGTGCTTCTTCGCGGATGCCTTCACCTTGTCCCCTGAAGGGGTTACCTTTCATATCTCCCATTGCACCAAAACCAACTCCACTTCAGTTTTCTATCCTTTCTCTCCTTCAATCCTCAACTTTGCATGGTGTCAACCCTACACTCCCATGTGGACGCTACAACAACGCTACGGTCTCCCTCCTCCAGCCAACTGTTGATATCTTATGTTCGCCCTTACGGTCCAGTTTCGGTCACTACTTGGGCCATATGGCTTTTGGGGCATATTCGGTGCAAGGAGCAGCTACCTCTTCTACTCTATCAATGGGTGCTTCGCTTCCTGATATCCTACTCTCAGCAGATTGGACATGTGAATGAACATTTCGGACATTCTACTTCTGTCCCTCGTCGAACCTCGCTTTTTCTTTGATATCTCAGCATTGAAATTGCAAAATATGAAGCCTCCTGTCATGTTATAAAATTGAAGATTATTTCATTTTGGTAACACTTGTTACACTCTCTTTCAGCTCAATTCAAATTTTCTATGGATTCCTGTCTGTTCCTGACTGTCGAATTTGGGATTAATGTTCCTGTATTGGTTTTTTTCTACTACGTTGCTACACACATACACATACAGACACACTGACACACACATACTCACTGACAGACACACACATACTTGCTGGCAGACACTCACTCACTGACAGACAGACACACACTCACTGACAGACAGACAGACACACACATACTCACAGACAGACACACACAGTGAGATACACACACAGACAGACACACACTCACTGACAGACAGACACACACACATACACTGACAGACAGACACACACACTGACCGACAGACACACACACACACTGACAAACACACACTGACAGACAGACACACACACATACTCACAGACAGACAGACACACACTGAGACACATACACACACACACTGACAGACAGACAGACACATACTGACAGACAAACACACACACTGACAGACAGAGACACACACACACTGACAGACAAACACACACTGACAGACAGACACACACACACTGACAGACAGACACACACACTGACAGACACACACTCACAGACAGACACACATACTCACAGACAGACACACACACACACATACTCACTGACAGACACACACACACAGACTCACTGACAGACACAGAGACTCACTGACAGACACACACAGACAGACTCACTCACAGACACACACACATACTCACTGACAGACACACACACACAGACTCACTGACAGACACACACAGACATACTGACAGACACACACACACATACTCACTGACAGACACACCCACACACAGACTCACTGACAGACACACATACTCACTGACAGACAGACACACACATACTTGCTGACACACACACACAGAGACAGACACACACACTTACACACACATACTTTTATTTATTGCTCCTTACCTTATGGAGCTGGTGTGGGGATCTTCTGTATGGAGATCTCCTTCCTGCTCCTCACTGCTCCCTCGCGCGGTTTAGTAATGCCGGGTGCCGGAATATGATGTGTCAGTGAGGAGCAGAAAGGCTGAGCTCCCTCGCTGGCTGTCAGGAACCTCTCCTCCCCGGCCGGGTAAATGAGCAGAGTAGGCACCTGCAATGTGGGGAAAGCAGGTGCCTACTCTGCTATAACAGCAGCATGTACTCGCGGCTCGACGGACAGCGAAGATGGTCCTTGTGGGCCGCGAGTTTGACATGCTTGGAGTAAAGAAAGATTATGCAAAACATGAAGCCTCCTGTCCTTATTAAAATTAAGATTATTAGTACACTAAAGCGGGGGGCGTGGCTAAAGCTGTCCATGAAGCAAGTCACACAATAAGAGAGCTCCACACCCCGAGCCGATTCTCTCAGCCTAATTACCCCTCTCGTTACCAGAATGGTGAGGAATAAGAAGCTTGCTGGTTCAGGAACCGCCATGCAGGGTTCTCCGCGTTGTTACATGGGAACCTTAGACAACTTCGTGTCCATGTCGGCAGGACTCAGAGGAGCCACGCAACCTGACAAAATGGTGCCGGACTCCCCAGGCATGGCCAGCAGAGGGGATTCTCCATCAGACCTTGGGACCGAGGACACCCTCCATGGCATCAGGGCAGAGCTGGCCAGGATCGGACGCAATATGCTTACAAGGGCAGACACCAGCTCCCTGGGCCGAGAGATCCGGGAGGCGATCCGTGAGGATCTGGTGGCCCGAGTTGATGCAGTTGAAGCGGAGGCAAGACTGAGCAGCCAACAACATCGCACAACCGAAATGGCTGCTACCAGACAGGGAAACATGCTGATCTCCCTGAGGCGTCAGGTTGAGGACTTAGAGAATAGAAGCAGGCGGCAGAAAATCCAGGTCAAGGGGGCTCCCTGAACCAGACACTGAACCTCTGTCATCCACACTCAACTCACTGTTTCAGCAGCTGCTGGGCCCGGAGGCCCCGTAAGCCTGGAGAGAGCCCGGCAGGAGCAGAGGAATAACAGACATCGCGCTGACAACACGCGAACCCCCGTGCCCCCTAGTCTGGCACAACTATGAGTGTTACGAACGAACCCCACAGTGCTGTGCCTAATCCACTCATTTTGGGATCCCACATGCCCACCGCTGCTGCTGCCCCGGCGGGCCACCGCCACTTAATCTGATGGGTCCCCCAGCCCCTGTACTCCCGTGACACCAGCAAGGCAAGAGTACAGGGGCTTGTGGACCCATCAGATCTCCCTACCTTTGCCCTGCACTGTGGCCTGGTCAGCTCATGTTACTGCACTCAATCCCATAGCACAGCAGGCCCCCAGGAAAGCCCCACGGCTCTGGTCTGCTCAAGGGAAACCGGCTTACCCTGCTGGGAAAGATCAGCCTCTGGGACTGGACACGCCCATGGAGGCCGAATACTGCGCATGGGGCCTAGCTGGCAGGGGAACCAGGAGTTAGGTTGGTCGGGGGGATTCTTGGAGATGCCCCAGCTGGCACATACAGCCACCAAGCTGCCATTCACTAGCGACAAGGCCACACAAGACTGGCCCCCGGAGCCATTTTTCACTTTGGACCGGGTGAGTCGGTTGAGTGTAGCTGTTTGGGAGAGAGGTTGCACCACGGCAGGTGGGGGTCGGAGATCAATGGACCTACCTACAGAATTTCCACCGGGCACTGGGAACACGGGATATCTATATCTGGGATTTGCGGGTGGCTCTGTCTATGGGGAGGGGGTATGTGGGACAGGGTTGGAGGGTGGATGGAGGCCACAGGATTCACATGTCACCCCCACTAGACACACTAGCCTGTAACCCCAGCTAGGCACTAGAAGCGTTCTCTCCCCAGTGAGTCTAGTGGGCCACTACCCACACTAGGGAGTTGAGGTTCGAGCCACGGGCCTTACAGAGCAACCACATGTTAACCCATCCTGACTACGACATAGAGCAGGCAGGTGAGTAGGGGGACACACGGACGGAGAGAGAGGAGGGACATGGGCCCAGTGGCAACTCCTGGAACGGAGGTGCCCGGGGGATACACAATGGCCCAGATGTCTACCCGTCCTGTCTACAGCATGATACATATGGCAAATAGGGATACCCCAGCACCTCGGATTGGGACCCACAGGGGCATAGCATGCACGTACCTACCACCCAGGGGATACCCGGGGAGTGGCATTGTTATGGGGCGACCCTGAACTCTAAAGTTCAGCAAGTTATAGTTCCCTCTGCTATACAGTTCCTTGCCGCGATTCAAACGGCACCAGCATACCTTTGAGGGGTGTACACAAGTACCTAGATCGGTGATGGGAGTGGACAATGGACTGTTGACCGACCTTAAACCTCTTAAGGTGACCTCGACACAGGATAACTGACCCAAAGTGACTGTGACTGGACGGCAGACACGTCCCCATCAACAGACGCACACCTAGTCAGGTAATTCGAGTGAAGGTCGGGGACCCCTGGGTCCTGCTTGGTTCCCGCTCCTGCAGCCCACCCAGTGTGACAAGTTGAAAGGTAAGCTCCTCTCCCCCCCCCCTCGGTAATTTTTTTTCTCTCTCTTCTCTTTCTCTTACTCCTTCTTCTTCTCTCTCTTCTTTTTTCCCTCTCTCTATTTCTTCTCCTCTTTTCTCTCTCCTGCATTTGCCTCCCCCCACAACGACAGGTGGCATGAGGCCCAGTGGGTTCTCCCCGGCGAACCTGAAGCTCAATACTGATAAATCGTAAGCTCTGCCGCTCGCGCTATCCAAGCGGGATACTGAGCAACTCAAAGTGCAGTTCCCCTTTCACTGGTGTGTGAACCGGATCAAATACCTTGGCATGTGGCTCACCAAAGACATGACACAGCTCTACCAGGAGAACTTTATGCCCATTCTCCGAACCATACAAGAGGATCTTACAAACTGGGGTAGCCTCTGCATCTCCTGGTTTACCGTCGATACTCCTGTACTACCAAGCCACACACCTGTTACGCACAGTAGACTGGCACACAAGGAGCCCAGACAAGATCTGGAGAGACGTGGAAAACGCTCAAGTGGGACAAAAGCTACCCGCAGTAGTATGGACGACGAATCCGCTCAAAGTACCCGAACTCTGCCAAAATCCCTTCATCTGAGATCATCCATGAAGGTATGGATGGCTACGTGAATGAAAGGCCCGCTCACCACGACCCCGTCGCCCCTGACATCTCTAACTCACAACCCGGAGGTAGCGGGAGGAGTAACGCCAAGGGATTTCGTAGAGCTGGACGTACATGAAACAACAAAACTTAAACTCCTACTGGAACTGGTCCCAAACGATGCCCCCTCACACATGGGGAGATTTAGGTACCACCAGATTCAACATTATTACCAATCCATCACGGGCATACATTTCGTCCACAGGGAGCATACTGAGTTTGAACGACAATGCGCATCAAGAGACCATCCGGTCAAAGGGATATCACTCCTCTACTCCCTGTTACTAACCTCAATGCCACGCATACCCCCGAAATACATGTCCCACTGGGAACAGGCCATGGGATGCACGCTAACGGACCCACAATGGGAAAAAATACACATCCTAGCACACCAAGGCACCATCAGCACCACATTGCAGGAGCTCAACTATAAACTTATCATGAACTTGTACTGGACCCCACCGTGGCTGCATCGCATGAGGAGTGAACTCCCCGAAGCATGCTGGAAATGCGGGAGTGAGCCATTGACGGATCTGCATATCTGGTGGTCATGCAAAAAAATTGAACCATACTGGCGACTCATACACACCAAGATCATAGAAATCCTGGATTCGGACCTGCCCTTCCAACCTCTGCCGATGCTGCTACACCACACAACACTTTCCCTCTCGATGTACAAACGCTCTTTCACAAGACACTTGCTAAACGTGGCCAAATCCCTTATCCCGCTTAAGTATCGTACAGCGGACCCCCCAACCATCGAACAATGGATGAATAGGGTTGAAATCCTGTACAGTGTGGAATCTCTCATAGCCTCACTACGTGGCAACTCTGAGAAATGCGCCCTCATATGGGCCCCCTGGTGCACATACATGACGCAGAGAACGCCGCAGGGAGGCCGGCAACCCCCGCCGCCGATGATTAGGGTGAATTGGGCCCCCCACATGGGACCAGACCAGCTGATTTGGCCACTCAATCCCTGAGGTAGGGGACCGGACCCCCGACAGAGATGTAGTAGCATGATGGGACAGTGCAGATACCGAAACGACCCTGTCAGCGCGAACGCCAAGAGGAATCGCACACCCCGCTGGGCTGAGAGAAGCTGAGAGTGGCGAATTAGGCGAGGAGCAAAACACTTTTTTTTCTCTCTCTCTCTTTACTCTCTCTTCCACTTCTTTTCTTCCCTTCCTTTCTTCGTATCCTCCCCCCCTCCTTCCCATCTCGACGTAAGCACATGGGGTGGCCGGGGGTGTGGGGGCCTGGGGGAGGTTGGGGTTCCATGCTCCCAGGTTCATACCTGGACTCATTTGCCTTCACGGCAGAGCAAAATGCAACGACCACATAACGCGACCAATCTGCGCAACCCCAATGACTGTGACGGTAGCGAATTATCTTTAACACCACATGTGGCACCCTATGGCTGCTTTACTAACCAGAAGCGACTGCCCTACCAGAGTAACATCCATGTCAACCCCATTCCTAAGCCCCAATGGCATAGGCACGGGTTTGGTGGCGGGTCTCAACACTCTCAAGGGCACCACAACGCTGTCCGTGCTTATGCTGCACCACTCAGCACCCAAAGCCAAGCTCTTCCAGCTTAGACAAGTAAGAAGCATGACCTGGCACGGTCACCATGCCAAAAGGATTTCCTCTGGGTGGGTGGGGAAGGACGGGAGATAGCCACAGCTTGGTGGTCCTCACCACAGGGTATAGCGGATCAGATCTGGTCCCCTAGACACATTAGCCACTATGGGCTCAATTGGGACACCCTCCTTTCCTCCCAACCCGGTAAATGTGAAATGTACGTCACACGCCCATAGCAAGCATATCGTGCTAATACTGGACGCTTATCCACAAGCAATGTGTTAGTACCCTTCTGTATGATTAACTATGATCTCCATGTTACTGATCTACTTCTTTACCTCATGTGTATGCCCACTCGACCACTGTATTTGTCAAAATGTTGACCTATTACTGAAAAATAAAGATTGTCTAAAACATTAGTACACTAAAGCAAGCATAATCTTCAATTCACTTTGAATTCTCACTTTAGTGATATTGTTTTGTATCACCATCCTCCTGACATTTAATGAGTTAAATGAAGAAAAACTCTCATGTTATATTTTCCAACTAAAATTGATAAATGATTCTTACTGCGATACTGAAACTCCTCATAGTGATGCATTGATTCATTGCATTTATTTGGGGAGTGCTTGGCATTTCCATGTTGAGCTTGGAGATGTCAATCGACGGTCTTGTAATCTTTGCAGGATCTATTCAAGACGTCCTTCTAGTGGTTTTCCAAGTGACAGCCACTAGAGGTAGCGTTAGGTAGCAATGTTAACACTGCCTTCCCTCAGATGTGGCGGTTTAAGACTGCGACCAGGCCCCTGTAGTATGGGATGCTGGAAGGAAGTGACATACACACATACTGACATATACGCTGACACATACACACACAGACACACAGATACACAAACTGGCATATACACACAGATACGCACACTGACACATAGATACACACACTGGCACATTCACACACAGATACACACTGGCACATATACTGTACACATACACTGATAGCCTTGATCTGGGTGACCAACATATCCAAAAATGACCCAGATCAGATCAGGGGTTCAGAAATTCTATGGAAGTCATAGTTTTGCCCAGGCGAACACAGGATTTCATGCCCAAAACAGTTCCATAGAATTAGGCTGTGCGGCCGGTCTATTTACACCCTGTTCCAAATTATTATGCAAATTATTATGTCACAAAAATTTAATATTTTGTTTTTCAGTTTAACTCAAGGATGGCATTTTGTCTCAGGGCTCTTTTGATCACTGAAAACAATCTCGGACACCTGTGATAATTAGATTGCCAGGTGAGTCCAATTTATGGAAAAACTACTAAAGGAGGGTGTTCCACATTATTAAGCAGAGCACCATTTTAATGCAATATGGGGAAGAAAAAGGATGTCTCTGCTGCCGGAAAGAGTGAAATAGTTCAATGCCTTGGACGAAGTATGAAAACATTAGATATTTCACGAAAACTTAAGCGTGATCATCGCACTATTAAGAGATTTGTGGCTCGTTCAGAGCACAGACGGGTTCGTGCAGATAAAGGGACATTGAGGAAGATTTCTGCCAGATCCATGCATCGGATCAAGAGAGCAGCTGCTAAAATACCATTACATAGCAGCAGACAGATATTTGAAGCTGCTGGTGCCTCTGGAGTCCCACGGATATCAAGGTGTAGAGTCAGGGCCGGACTGGGACAAAAATTCAGCCCAGGTAATTAAAGGCAGAGCAGCCCACTATTAGGGGCGGGGTCAGAAAGGGGGCGTGTCATGTCACCACCATTGACATGCACACCCCCTCCCCCCCACCAAATGAGTATGTTAATGTCACGCTTCTCCAGAGCATCTAGTGCTCTTAGATGAAGTAAATGCCATGTTGTTTCTTTTGGGGCGCAAGCATGCGCTGTGTTTGCTGGCGATTTGTCTCTGGTGTCCTCAATAGTGGGATACCAGAGATCAAAACAGGAACAGGGCTGTTAAAGTGTTGTGCATGTGTGGGGATGTTCCCTGTGGTGTTGTATATGTTTGGAGGTTGCATGTGTGTAGAACAGACTATTTGTGTTGTATTGTGTGTAAATGGGTCTGTTTGTGGCATTCTGCATGTGGCTAGGGGCTGCAGTGTGTGTTTCTGGGTTGTAAAGTTGTATGTGTGTGTGTATTTATATAGGGCCTGTGGAGTGTGTGGGCCTAGGGGATGTAGTGTATGCATGTAAAGATCTGTACTGTGTGTTTGTGAGTGTATCTCGGGGCTTAGTGTGTGTATGCATATAGGAGCTGTACAGCACGTGTATAGGTGCAGTGATGTATGCATAGGTGGTGTAGTGTGTACAGGGGGTGCGGAATATGTATTTATAGGGGATATAAATTAGTGTGTTTGCATGCAGGAGGTGTAATGTGTGTGTTTAAAGGGGCATAACGCATGAAAGTGCAGGGAGTGTAATGTATGTTTAGGGGCTATAGAGTGTGTATGTGAGTGCCGGGGGTATAGTGTGTACATAAGGGGTATATAGAGTGTGTGAAGTGTGTTTGTGTGTAAGTGCAGTAGGTGTAGTGTGGATATAGGGCTATAGAGTTTGTGCTGTGTGTTAATGCAGGGGCTGTAGTGTGTATATAGGGGTATAGAGTGTGCTTGTGTGTTAGTTCGGGGGTGCAGTGTGTTTGTGTGTTAGTGCAGGGGGTGTTGTGTGTTAGTTCAGGGGGTGCTGTGTGTGTAGTGTGTGTGTGTGTTAGTGCAGGGGGTGCAGTGTGTGTAGTGTGTTTGTGTGTTAGTGCAGTGTGTTTATGTGTTAATGCAGGGGCTGCAGTGTGTTTGTTAGTGCAGGGGTGCAGTGTGTTTGGGTGTTAGTGCAGTGTGTAGTGTGTTTGTGTTTTAGTGCAGGGGCTGCAGTGTGTTTGTTAGTGCAGGGTCTGCAGTGTGTTTGTGTGTTAGTGCAGTGTGTTTGTTTGTGTGTTAGTACAGTGTGTTTGTTAGTGCAGGGTGTGCAGTGTGTTAGTGCAGTGTGTTTGTTAGTGCAGGGGCTGCAGTGTGTTTGTTAGTGCAGGGGCTGCAGTGTATTTGTGTGTTAGTGCAGGGGGTGCAATGTGTGTGTGTGTAGTGTGTTTGTAGTGTGTGTATGTGAGGGGGGTGTATATAGTGGATGATATGGCCATACATTATTAATTTAAGAATTAAACAAACAAAAAAGTAAAAAAAAAAAATCCCATTTACTCCCCCCTTTTAACTTAGCAGGGGAGAGAGGAAGCATTCACATACCTGGTGGTCCAGTGAGGGGGGGGGCACGCCACGCACCAATCCCAGGAGATCCAGCGGCAGGTAATTCAGTCTCCCTCTCGCGAGCACTGGTTTTTCAGAGCGTTGCCGCGGGTTACCATGGCAACGCTCTGATAATCTCGAAGCTCGCGAGAGGAAGAGAAGGAAGCTGCTCTGCATTCTCCCCTCCGGCCCATGATGGGAGACAGGACTCCATCTGTCTTGGGGCCGGTGCTGCCCTGCATGGGCCGGCAGGAGAGATCTCTTGATCTTTCCTGCCAGCCTCGGCCCATGGCCATCGCGGCCCACCGGGCATTTGCCCGGTTTGCCCTATGGCCAGTCCGGGCCTGTGTAGAGTCCTCCAGAGTCTTGCAACTGTGCATAAACCTTCTATTCGGCCACCACTAACCAATGCTCAC